TCACATCACGATTTTGGCCGAAGTTCCAAGAATCTATGGGGACAAAGTTGAAATTCAGTACAGCTTTTCATCCGCAAACGGATGGGCAATCCGAGCGGGTTATACAGATATTAGAGGATATGCTGAGAGCTTGTGCATTGGAGTTCCAAGGGAGTTGGGACAACCATTTGGCACTTGTGTAGTTTGCCTATAACAACAATTATCAGGCGAGTATAGGCATGCCTCCATACGAGGCATTGTATGGGAGGAGATGTCGTACACCTTTGTGCTGGGATGAGGTTGGCATGGCCAAACTCGAGAGCACGGAATTGGTGGAGATCACCAAGTCAAAGGTAAAGATGATTCGTGAAAGACTTAAGGCGGCCCAGGATAGACAGAAGAGCTATGCCGATAAGCGCCGAAGAGCCTTAGAGTTTAAGGTGGGAGATGAGGTATTCTTGAAAGTTTCACCTTGGAAAGGAATCATCCGATTTCAGAGCCGAGGGAAACTTAACCCACGCTACATTGGGCCATTTGTAATTCTTGAGAGAATTGGGGCCGTAGCATACAAATTGCAATTGACTCCAGAATTGGAGAAGATACATAATGTATTCCACGTGTCTATGCTTAAGAAGTATATGCCAGATCCATCTCATGTGTTAGAGAAACCACCCGTGGAAATACGAGAAGATTTGAATTATGTCGTGCAACCGGTAAGGATACTTGACAGTCAAGTAAAGAAGCTGAGAAGCAAGAGAGTTCCAATGGTTAAAAGCCTTTGGAAAAGTGACCGAGTTGAAGAAGAAACTTGGGAAACTGAAGCCTCGATGAAGGAACAGTATGCATTTCTTTTTGAATAAGCAATGTGAATTTCGGGGACGAAGTTCCCGTTAAGGGGGGTGAACTTGTGACACCGCACCCGAATGTACTTAAATTTAATATTCAGAATGTATTTGAATTTTTCTATCGAATGAATTCGTGTAGAAGAACGATATATTTAATTAGGAAATGATTAATTAAATTATTTATCGGGTCCATAATATTGAGAATGGGCTACTGAATAATTAGTTGGGTCATCTTAATAATTATAGAAGCCCAATTAAAATGCCAACCGAAGTTGAGGAAATATTTGGACAACCCAAGTGATATTTTGACTCAACCTGCCAGAAATAGTGGGAATAATTGGGAGGAACTTTCTGCACCCAAGTGGGGTTTTTCCTACATGTCTTGAGACTCTAAACAATTGAAGTGGGGCAAATGAGGGATGGGTTGTGCGGACAAACAAGGGAGGAAACCCCCTAGAGATAAAGTCTACACACAAATGACCCCATGCATGTCAATTTGAGAGTAAATTGATGGGAGAGATGCCATCCCTGTCAATCCTTACTCTAGCCTCATCCGCACAAGCTCATCCACAAAAGAAAGAGAGAAAGCTCTGGGGTTGACCTTCACAAACATCAAGTTCAAGCTTGGAGGAAGCAAGAGACAAGCAAATTCCAGTAGGAAACTAGCTACGAAGAAGGTAAGAACTCAACTATCTTCTTTTAACTAGTTTTATGGTGTATGATTTGTAAGAAATCATATGATGGATTAAACCATGAGTTCTACACGTTTAAAAGTGTATAATATTGATAGAAAGTGGTGGTAATTAACTTAGTAGGGTTGGTCAATCGATAGGAGTCGAAATCGCCGGAAACCGCCACTCCAAAGGAGCTGTTCGTAGTTGCAGACTACGAAAGCCGCCTGGCTTTCGTGAAAGCCGCCCGGCTTTCGTGAAAGCCGCTCGGCTTTTGCCTAGCAGTCCAGTTTTCCACTTTCAATCGGCCTGGAACGGGGATTGATCGAGGGGCTTAACAAAGGCAACTATTGTAGCACATCACGAGGTGAGGATGGCTGACTATGTTGCTTATATCTAGTGAGTTAATTTCATGAGATTACCTAAGGTAATCAAATGTGTTGTTATGGATTATTAATGATTAATAATGCCTAAAAATGAGAAGATTATTGTCTATGAGAAAAGTAGCATGATATACAAATTTAAGAATAAATTATGTATGATCATGTGTTATGAGTATGTTGACTTGAAAATGGAATTAACTATGAAATGCATGTTGGAATGTACTTTTTACTTCATATAAGGATATATGAATGATTAAAAGTGATATTTTGGTATATTGATATAATGATGATATTTTCAATGGAAAATCAGTGGGGCACTCTATGAATGATCATGCATAGAGAACTTGGTTTTTTGTTGGAATTAAATGGACTAGTATTGATATACTAGTTGGACATTATAATGAAATCTTGCTAAAATTGATCCTAAGGTTGGATTGTGAAGTATTATGCCTTAAGTTGTCTTAAGAGATGCTCTAAGGTAGGAAAGTGTGAACTTAAGTTATACTAGGGGTAGGCCTTAAGGGATACCCAAGATAAATTGAATAATAATAAATTGATCCTAGGTGTAGGATTGGCCTACGGGCGTGTTCGGTAGTCCTTGAGGATAGCCGGTTGAATTATGGGAATAAGTAAGGACCATGGCCCTTTCCCGACTCTAGAGAGCGGGGTTGGATAGCATGGACTTGCATCGTGATCACGGGTTAGGGTGGAATCCGAATCGGAGACCTAACTAGGCTCCGGTAGCGGTAACACATAAGATAGGACCCCGAAGGGCCTTACCTTCCTACGAGATGATGGGTATGAGTCCAGGGGAGGGATGTTGGAATCCGAACCGAGAGCCTCATGAGGTCTCCGACAGCGGTAGCAAATCCCGTAGAAATAATAAGACCCACGGGTTGGGTTGTACGAATGGTAAATGCAAGGAAATGTACAAGAAGGGCCGTGTGCCGACAAACGAATGAATTTACTTATTATAGAGATAATAAGTGTGAAATATAAATATATATTTATATTATGATATCACCCTAATTTGAGGGTCTTAGAAATTAAAGCGTTGATTATACTCGGTATAGTTGTCATTGTACTTGTCAAATGCTTCCAAGTACTGACCTCCCCTTCACGGGGGAGGCCACCTCACAGTTTCAGGTAGAACGTGAAGGTTGCTACCATCGCCCATTGCATCGGGAGGATCAAGAGAAGAAGACGTGGTTCGTGCTTCTTCTGTTTTCTGATTTTCAAAACAATTATAACAATGCTCATGGATGTTATTTTTTGAATAATTATTTGGGGGCTTGTATGCCCATGTTTGCCAAAGTGTGGCATAGACACTTGTGTTAAATGCTTCCGCTGTTTTAATTGAATGTTTTACATTATGTTTGTTTATGGATGTACTATGTGTGAATGGTATTCAAGACGCCTTGTATAGTATGGAAGAGTTGGACTACGATTGACTATTCGTACTGTACATCGGGTTGTTGACGTGTCCGGGTAGGTCTGGGGCGTGACAGTGAGAGACAAAAAGGGGTAGTATTATTTCTAACATGTGCCTGCGGAGTATTATTTTAACACAAAATCAACAAAATTAAGACCGATAATATTATTTGGAGAAAGCACCCAAAAAGAAAAGCGTGAAACTCTCTTGTAGAATCAAAATGAATCTATTTTTAGAATGAATTTCAATTACACAGATTTGCTATATGATACCCCATAACAGAGAAATCATGCTCCTAATAGCATTTTTGAAGCCATTGTACAACTCTAGAAGTATACCTCAATCTCAATTTGGTTCGGGTCGTCACTACCATTTAGGAATAGTCGAGCCATGGCCCAAATATTTTGAGGCACAATTTGTAATACTTAGAAATTGTCCCTCGAATTACATGTTTTTATTATTAATCCTGCACTTTAAATGAAATTTTTGAGACAAACATTCCATTTTCATACTCCATTATTCCAAGAGAAACAGGGTACTCACGCTCTGACTGGTCAAATATTCGGGAGTGCATCCACTCGGGTTCTTTCTGTTTTATACTCCCTTCGTTCTCTATTAATTGTCCCCTTAGACTTTCGCACGAATTGGAAATATAATAGCGAAATTGTAGCAACCATTTACATACATCTCAAATAGAAAAGTGTAGCAAAATTTTAAATACAGAAGAAGTAATTGATTGTAAATTGGTCTTTTTACATATAAAACAAAGTCTTTTAATGCTTAAAACAAAAAATACGGGATGATCACACTGAACAGTACTATATAAATGTGAAGTTTCAGTAAGAACAAAAGTATAAATTAAGTACAATGCTTAAATTACTATCCTTCTCAAATGATAATAAACAGAGATTCAAAAAGTTGAAGAACTGACTTCTGAGAATTATTTAATAAATTAAAAAGAAAATAAATAGAAATAATTGCTCATAAAACGATATGTCGATTTCATCAAGCATGTTAACATTTAACATAATAGATTCTATAATATGTTAGAAAGTACACACAAAAAAGTTGATCACAAGAGAAAACTACTTCATTTGAGGTTGTAAAACACTCAGAAAAGGAATTACATATAGATGAATGGAACTCTCAAGATAAATAACATAGTACTTTCAATTGAGTAAATTGGTTAAACTCTAAAGCACCACTTAGAGATGTTAAAATGGAGTTCATTAGAATTGACTTAAACAATAATCGTCAAAATTTTAAAGGCAGAATTCCCTAAATAGGACTAAAAAAGTTTTGAAATTCTAAAATGAGACTGTCATGTTTTTTATTCTTTGAATAGAAGTAAATTTATGCCAAGTTTGGCTTAATAGACTTTAAAACATGACATTTTTTTCAAACTTGACAGATTACTCCTATTCAAGGAAGAAAAACATGATACTTCTATTTTGGAATTTCAAAACATTTTTGCTCCTATTTAGAGCCATTTCTAAATTCTAAAACTTTCATATATGAATCATGAATATGATGAACTGATGAAGCGCTCTTGGTGAAAATCATCCATTGTCGAATACTCTCTGCAATGCTAATTAAACACAAAGCTAAAAAGTGAAGAAGGTTCAACTCTAAAAACGGATAATGTTATATACAAATAATTACCAAGTACTCCCTATATATGATATACGGAGTAAAATGATAAAAAATGAAAGAGTGTAAAAGTGTCATTTGAAATGGCAATGACTATGAATCTATGATGCACCTATCCATGTAAAACTGCAACTGGCCCAATATGCAAACACTATCCATAAAGGTTTCTCTGTTCAGCCCATTAAAGCCCACTATCTAACCACGGTAATTTCATCGCCTTGTAGCTGAAACCCTAGGGAAGCTTGTTACTGCCGACTGAAGATTCGGTGAAGAGGACCCGTTTGCTGCAGACGGAAGATCGGCGAAAAAGTCCAATGGGGAGAAGTAAGCTTCAATGTTCTTTCATTTACCATGCATCAATAAATTTGATCATATACGCGAAAGTCGTTGGAAATAATGAAAGCAGATTTATTTGATTTTATAGTTCACTAATAAATTATGGGAAAGTTGTGTGTTTTGCTTACTCTTCATGATGGATTCCGACTTGTCATTGCTTAATGATCTTGTTTGTCAATCCGGACCGGTAAAAATGTTGGGTTTGGCTTTTAACCGCATTCAGCTATATTGCTCATACGGAGTAGTTATTTGCATATACTAATGAAACTAATGTGAAAGTTTAGGAAATGTTCTTGATAAATATTGAAAGTAGAAACAATCATTGATAGCTCTGTTTATGTCAAAACCATTATGATGATATTTTTGTGCAAACTGATCTCAGGGCCAGCAAGGTGTTACCGCCAGATTAAGAACAAGCCATACCCAAAGTCAAGGTATTGCCGTGGTGTGCCTGACCCAAAGATTAGGATCTATGATGTGGGGATGAAGAAAAAGGGAGTTGATGAGTTCCCCTTCTGTGTGCATTTGGTCAGCTGGGAAAAGGAGAATGTGTCGAGTGAGGCCCTTGAAGCTGCCCGAATTGCTTGCAACAAGTATATGACCAAGTTTGCAGGAAAGGATGCCTTCCATCTTAGGGTTAGGGTTCACCCTTTCCATGTCCTTCGTATTAACAAGATGTTGTCGTGTGCTGGGGCTGATAGGCTCCAAACGGGAATGAGGGGGGCATTTGGCAAGCCACAGGGTGTCTGTGCTCGTGTTGCCATTGGACAGGTTCTTCTGTCCGTTCGCTGCAAGGATTCTAACAGTCAAAATGCACAGGAGGCTTTGCGTCGTGCCAAGTTTAAGTTCCCTGGCCGCCAAAAGATCATTGTTAGCAGGAAATGGTACTTCTTCTTGCATTTACCTGTTAATATAATATTGATTGATTGATTGATTGATCACTTCAAATCTGGATAACACTAGAATATCCCGGCTTCCAAAGCTTGTTTTTTGTTTCAACTGAAAGTCTCCTCTGATCCCAACAAATCTATATGGTGAATTATGTTAGACCACAAAATTGCTTAGAACACATGTAAGCTTCCATGCTTTTTGACATGGGTTCTTACTGAACTGTAAAAGATGTAACTAGTCCAAATATCTTCTCTTTGGTGGGAGTGAATGTGTGGTGATAGTGTGAAAACATTCTTAGAAGTGTCATAATGTTTTTTGTAAGACAATTCTTTGAATCTCGTGTGTCCATCATACTACATCTAAATATACCTTTAGAGATCTCTACTAGTATGGAGATCTCTATTAGTATTGGAGTGAAGGTTCTGAATCTAGAACCAATTTTGATCATTAGATATGGATTGAAGATATTCACTTATTCTTTTTCCTATGTTACTTTTTAGGGGTTTTACAAAGTTCAATCGTACTGATTATGTGAACTACAAGAAGGAAGGCCGCATTGTGTCTGATGGTGTCAATGCTAAGGTTTGAGCCTATTCCTTTGTTGTACTAAAGTAACTGTTTCATTTAACTTTCTTGTTTATGAGATATCTGATATAAGCAACGACTTCGGATTTCTTTTTTTGTGTTTTTCTAGCTTTTGGGGTGTCATGGACCTCTTGCAAAACGCCAACCTGGGAAAGCATTTATTGACGCAGCAGCTTAAAGTTTCTGTTTTGTTTCACAAACCTCTTGAGCAAAGTCTATCCTGTAGCACATTATGTTTTTTTTATTGGAGCAAATATATCCTGACATCACTTTATGAAATTCTGTCTTTAGTAGGTTGGTGTTTGTTTCACTGTTTTGATTACTTTGATGCGTTTGCTAGTATCATATTTCAATAGTCGTGTTCTTTCCTTTTGCATTGTCTATTGTCTTCCTTTGATGTTGGAATATCTATGCTGGACAGTTGGAATATCCGGTCCTTAACGAAGTTTACACTTTGACAGTTTGACTTCACACATGTTAAAGAAATAAATTTGACTTTAGTGTAGAGTATATTGTTTGACACTGTTTGACACTGTTTGGTGTAGATTTGTTTGCCAACTAAGGCAAATAAGGAAGTGTAAAGTTAAATATGGGATGGTCCAAAAAGGAAAGTGTAAAGTTAATTAAGGACCGGAGGGAGTACTTATTTTACTATTTTAGGACATTTGTTAAAAGAGTTGTTACATACTTACATTCAACCGTATTTCCGTTGCATAGCACTTATTCATTTTTTGTTTAGAGGAATCAGTAAATCCTAAAATTAGGTTGGAGACAAATCTACCAAAATGAGATTAGTCATCATTATTGACGATGAAATGTTAGTGAAACTCTCCCATATGAAAGAAAATGGAAGGGAAAAGGGTCAAATAAGCTCTCCTACTATTGTGAAAATGTCAATTAAGTCTACGAATTCAAATAACCCGCAATTATACCCATGAACCCTTAAAAATGAGGCAAATAGTCTTTTTAGCAGGTGTTCTTCCGGTTCCCAATTAAGTTGCGTTTGTGGCATATGACGTGGCAAATTTTTTCATTTTTCGTTTTCTTTTCCCTTTCCCTTCTCTCTCCCGCACCTCTTCTTCTTCCCTACATCTGCAACTTCCTTCTCTTTTTTTTTTTCTGTTCCCTTCTTCCTTCTCTCTACCCGGTCTTCTGCACGTCCTCTTCCACCCTTTCACCTGGTTCGTCGCCCTCACTCTTCATTCTAGGTCATCTTTGCAATATGAATTCCTCATCATCGTCTTCTCTTGATCGGCGACTCCGACGAGCAACAAGGGTTTGGGAGCTCCTCCAAGGACTCAAACCTCCAGGTTAGCGATGAGTAATAGGGGTGAATTTGCCTACGGAATTGCCAAGAGGCGATGAATTTCTAGATTTGCGACATCACCCACATTCCTGCGACGAGCTCCTAAGTGGGCGGCTTCTCTAAGATCGTTTTCGGTGGATTTTCGTTCATCTTCCTCTTGGTTGGACAACAGCTTGTGAGACAACTCTTCAGGAAGAAGTGAATCAAGCTATGAACTTGGGAGATGCGTAGAAGTGACGACTAGAAGAAGACTTAATTGACATTTTCATTATAGTAGATGGACTTATTTGATACTTTTCATGATGTGATTTAGTCTGGTTTGTTTTGTTTAAGTTTGGTTTGGTTTGAATTAGTCGATCTATTTTGTTTAAGTTTGGTTTGATTTGAATTAGTCTCGTTTGGTTGATGTTTGTTCTAAAGGTGGCAATTGGGGTGGGGACCTATAGGGGCCAGGGGCCTGTCCCGTGGAGAAGTGTGGTGGGTGTTGGGGCGGGAGGGTGCAGGATGTGATTATCACCATAGTATGATGAGGTAGTTATAGTAGTTATCCTCCCACCATGTGTTAGATATCTTGTAAAGTTGTAAACATACAACATAAAAAAAGTTCAACTAAAAACATAACAGTTAGGAAAGCAGAACACAAGGCTTGATTGTCTAAGGATAACAATCAGATGGTAGTAAAACCATGGGCGGAGCTAGGGTGGGCCAACCTAGGCCATGACTCACTCCACATTTTAAAAATGGCTTAATTTTAAGGTAAAAAATTTCGTGTAATTTTTTTTCTAAAAATTTTTTTTGTACCGGCTCAGTCTAGCTCACTGTCCTGACGCCGCACCTGAGTAAAACTACTATCACAACCATGGGGTAAATTCAAATAAATAAATAAATATCTTGCCCATTTTTTGGCTCCTTGCATCTAATAATGATTTATATTGGAGCTCTTAAGTTGTAATTCAAAGAAATGATGAAGAAACCTTAGTGAGAATATATCTAATGATTAAAAGTAAACCATTACTCCATTGGAAATTTGGAGACCCACAAGGCCACAATACTGCTAGCTTAATTTCAAGAAACATAATTCCATGTTGTAAAAACAAAGATGAAATGTAGTGATCTATTATCAATCAATGATATAAAGTAAAAGAAGTGGCTCAGGAAATTTTGAAGAGCGACCATACTGTGAGCTTAACTTCAAGAAATGCAATTCATTTACGTATACTAACCCATAGTTAAATCTTAAACCAAGGATGAATAACAATTTAATAGAATACAACTCATTCATTATAAGGCAAATCTTAAGCATAATTTACCTATACAACCAATCATAATATTTTCTTCTACTTTCTTATGAGCAAGAAGAAAGATTCAGATTAACAATAATTTACCTATACAAATTTTCTTACGTAAAAATTTGTGTTTGTTTGGAGGAAATAGGAGGAAATGTTTAATGAAAATATTTTCGCAATTTACCTCTATATGAAGCTTACTTGAAAAATAGATACATGTCTAACTATTGTGAATATTACTCCTATGGTCATGAGTCATAATTTAATCTTTTTTGATTTTTTTATTTTCAACTTTTTAAAATTTATAATTTTTTATTTTTTAGTTTTTTATTTTTTATTTTTATTTTTTTATTTTTTAAATTTTTAAATTTTTTAATTTTTTAATTTTTTAATTTTTTATTTTTAAATATTTAATTTTTAATTTTTAAATTTTTTAATCTTTAAAGTTTTTGATTTTTAATTTTTAAATTTTACAAATTTTTTTGTTTTTTTACCTTTTTGTATTATAATGTTTTGTACATTCACCGAAATACCCCGATTTGAGGGGTTTAGAATGAGAGGAAGTGGAGGATTTTGAAAGTCTTCCACTTCCTCCCCCTCCCCCCTATTTCATTCAAACAAACACACACAAATCTCCCACTTCCCTCGCCTCCCTCTGAAATCCGCCAACCAAACAGGGTCTTAAGTTAACACAGGAAAAATCTATACTTGAAATAGAACGTTCTAAAGACTTAATTAAAAAGCAATTCATAGATTGATTTAAAAGGCCCTTTATTTTGCGAGAGTCGTGAGAAACAAAAAAGGAGGCCTTTTAAATTCTTGAGTTAAGTTGATTGATTTCCTAAATAAATTTATATGGGCACTCTAAAGTATCAAGTGTTTTTAGACTACTTGGTTTAAATTTTTGTGCAGAATTTCTGATGTGAATGGGTTATATCATCATATAGAGACATAGAGTTAGAACGACATACAACATACGTTTGCAAAGTACTTTGTGAGCTTACTCATTATAATATTTTTATAAGGTCTTAATGATTAATTAGTGAGGTACATCAAATATGATTTTTTTTAAAACACATCAAATATGAGTTAGAATGTTATATGACATAGTATCCTCTGTTCCATTTTAATCGCAGCATGTTGAATTTTACACTATTCACATGCTCTATTTTGACTACAGTTTACGCTATTATTTTATGAAAATTATTTTTTTTAAAAAATATTGTTCAATTCATCTCATTACAAATTTTCAAAATCTGATTTTTAATATTTTTTTACTAATAGAATTCAGATATAATTACGGTCAAAGACGTGTGTTGACAAATGTGAAATGTTGACCGTTGCAACTAAAAAAAAGGGAGTATGACATATGAGTTAACCATGATATTTTGACAATTAGCTGGATTTTATTACATTATTTTGGCCAAAATAAGCAATGTCAAAATATTGTATAAATTGCCAAAGGACAATGTTTATAAAATGAGACCATGTCAAAAATATTACAATGTCAAACATGCGTTGCACATAATGCAATTCACAATTAATATATTCTTTAAAATGATAAAGTCGTACGGAGCATAATCCAAAAAGTTCTACTTCACAAATTTTGCTTGATAACTCTTAATTATCAATTTAAAGTTCTAATTTAGTGGTAAAAGAACATTAAAAGTTGTTTCATGTGTGTGTATTGCCTTTGACCAAATTGAAGTAATAAACCAAATAAAGTTAAACTAAAAATTGAACCATATGTAATTTATTTTGATTAGTAATTGTATTAATTTAAATAAATAAAAAATAAAAAAATGCAATAATTAACTTCTTGAAAATAGGAATTCAGCTCGAGGGCTGAAGTTAGGTGTACATTTGAAAACCCGCATAAAAGCACACGAATAAATCACACGTGTTTATCTTTTATTCTATTGAAGTGGTCAAATGAATCCTTTGATCCAAAAGGTGGAATCTCCCACCGGATGAGCCCCATCTCGACCCGACAGGATGGTGGGGACGTTAGTCACGGTGACTTAGTCAGCAGAATGACAGTAGACCATACATCCGTACGCACCAGAGGCTCAGCCTTATTTCAGGTTCTGTGACATCCACCCGGTCACTGCGGAGAATCGAACCTTGATCCATTGATCCAAATCTCCCACCACTCGACCAACTGAGCTACCCGTGCGGGTTGGTCAAATTAATCCTAATCGATAGGAACATGTCTATTGTCCAAAATAATAGAGTAGTTTTAATATTATTTATTATTGTGGACTTCTATTGTAATTCTGACTCTTATTATCTATAAATATATCTGTGAGGGCTACCATTAGGTAAGCCTGGTATTTATTCTCACATGGTATCAAGAGCCAAAACATGTTTACCCTAATTCTTTTTTTTCGGCCTCATGTCTTCTGCCGATTCTTTTTCTGCCGCAGCGGGCGTGTCCACCGCCGCTGGCAGCGCCTCTTCCCAAACCGCATCGGTGACAACCACCGTCGATGCATCACCAGTTCTCTCACAGGTTTCCTCTCTGCCGCATCCTCCCAACTTGTTCGCGACAGCAGAAGGCGCACCATGGGTGACGCCGGTCTTCAACTTGTCTCCTACCAGGCCTCCTTCTCTCCCGCAGATGTCTTTCTTCTCTCGTGTCGTCGGCTCCTCTCCCACAGTGAATTCCGGCTCCAGCTTTGCAGGTCCTACCTTCGCAGGTGCTTCGGGAGTCACCCCTCTGTCTGCTTCTGCTTCCATCGGACCGCTTGCGCCACAGTCAAGTGCCCCGCCTCCTCCAGGTTATTCTTTATCTGATTTGGTTAAAAATATTGGTTTCTCGGCACTCAATATTACAAATATTGTTACTACCAAACTTGCTGCGATTGAGGATCATCTTACTTGGCGTACTCAGTTTGAGTCTTTTTTTGTCTC